TATATTTGATATAAGACATAAACTAAAGTTATTAGTAATTTCTATATGCAAAATGAGAGAAAGTGGACAATTTTCCGTCTTATTGTAGGAAAAAAAAGTTGTGTAATTGGAAAATGTGAAAATTAATTTTACTTTATTATACAATAAAAGCAAAAAAAAAACTTTGAAGCTTAAACTCAAATTTTGTTTCTAACTGTAATTGAATCTACAGTCAATTCTATATTTGATATAAGACATAAACTAAAGTTATTAGTAATTTCTATATGGAAAATGAGAGAATGAGTGGACAATTTTCCGTTTTTATTCTAGGAAAAAAAGTTGTTTAATTAGAAAATGTTTTAATTTATGTTCGATTGATTCGAGTAAGTGGTAAAAAAGAAAGAAACGGTCAAGACTATAATTTTATATTAAATCATTGTTGGAATTGGTTGAATTGGCGTTCCAAGTGGTGAAGACAAGTGTGTAATGGGTATTAAAACAGGAAAGTCCAGTGTCGAATCGAAAAACAATTTGCTGGCCATCATTAATCAACAATCTGTGTGTGTGTGCGGGGATTGTTTGAGGGTGGTTCGGTTTGGGGGAAGTAACATAAAACCTGTCGGCGATCTGATAAATATAGCCTTAATGCCTGGTTCACGCGAAGATATTAAGGAGTTTTATGTTATGGTCGGAACGGGCAAGAAGACACATAAAAGTCGATATAAATCACACCTCTTTCGATATTGGGAATATTTCCTAATGCATATCGAAACCCCGCAGATCGGGATGTGTGCCGGGAATCCTTTAGGGGGAGAAGAACAGAGACAGAGACGGATTGCGAGTGAGATGGAAACGGAGAGAGAGAGAACCGCATTCTATAATTACTCCTGCGGCGATGACGTCCGAATCCCACGCAATCAAATTGCACAACACACCGCACTTTCCATCAATCAAATAGGAGGCAACGGCAAGAACGTGGAGATGTGATGTGATGTGATGTGGAGGAGACGGAGGAATCGAACTTTGCCTGTCCGAAATCTCGCTGTCAACGGCGTCGGGACGCCAACTATTTTTAATCCGACGAGACTTCGCTGGTTTTATTTATTCGACGTTTATTTTATTTCTTGTCAGCTCGTCTAATTCTTATTCAACTTCTTTAGTTTCTATTTTACAATATTCTATTATTGGAATTCAGCTTAATAAATCAATCATATTTATGATAAAAGTGTTTGAAAAGTTGCTTTGATCAAATAAAAAGTAATGATGTGACTGTTTTTAAAAAAGAAACTTCTTCTGACTTAATTAATGATCAATTTGCTTAAATTAAATCCAACATTTTCAAATTTTAGTTTATATTAAGAATTAAATAAAAGTATTAAAAACTTTACAATTCTGGGACAATAAACAATATTTTAGTAATAAAAATCTCATTGAGTTTATTTTCATAATTTTCGAAAATTTACAATATTGTGTTGGAATTGACGCAATTTAATGTAAACACATTCAAGTATTCTTTTATATTTAAAAAAAAATTCAAAATTATCAATTTTCTTCCAAAAATTTACAATTAATGTTCGAAATATATTCCAATAAATTTATTTCCTAGTTGAATATCAATAATTTAGTTAAATATTTTGAATTTTATTGAAATTTACTAGAGAATTCCTTATGTAATTGTTACGTATTTATATTAAGAATATACGAAATTCATTCAAACTTTTACAATTATCATTTTATCTTCAGAATTTATAAATTTATTTCTTATAAAGTGCATTTTTTTCTTTATATAAAAATAATTTTCGAAATTTATGAAAGAAGTTTCAATTTTACTCTTATAATATGAATTTTCTATAATTTTTTTGAAAATTTTCATTTGTGAGTTGAATTTTCTATAATTATTCAAAAAAAATAATTTTTAGCCTTAGATTATTTAAAAATTTAAAAGTTACGAAATATATTCCATAATTTTCAATTTTTTGTTATATTTAAATGAAAATCCATTTATTTATTGAAATATTCAATTATGTACACTTCTTTTAAAGAAAACAAAAAAATGATACTAATTTGTTTAGAAACTAAATTTAATTATACTTGTTTCAAATTCATAAGTGTATAATTTCGTTTTTGAAATTACGCCTTCAAAATAGGAAGTTATATCAAAATTTGAGACATCCGAAGTGCAGTGTAATTCTCTAAACATCGGTTTCCGTGCTCCAGGTCGGTATAATTACACTAATAAGCGCATTTCCTGAAAGAAGCCGCATCATCATCATCATCATCACTATCGTCATTGACACGTCCCATCCAGCAGAAACACCGGAAAAGTCAAAGTTCGTCGGAGCGCGCCGAAAATAGCCGCGATTAAATCTGGCAATCAGCGTCCAATTCGAGCCCGGCAAATGGGATCTAATCATTTCTTCTAATTTTTTTTTGTGTTCGTTGTCGATCTTCTTCCTTTGTGTTCGCCACCACCGGAAGACCTTTCCCTCCCTTTTCCTCCGTACAAATGCGTAAATCGGACTGAGAAAAATTGGCTAAGTCCGACGTGTATAGAAAAAGGAGTTATCGAATCGATTCGATAAATCCGTGGGTCAAGGGGTAAATCCAGATAACGCAATTACTCTTGTATCTTTGCAGCCAGGAAGTCGCATTTAATGGCGGCACTAATGGTTTGCTGAATCGTGAAAGAAACAAAGGCAAAATGGATTTTGGCAAGAAGGAAGCGACGCGGCCTCATATTAAAAACTGTATATAAATAATAGTTATTGAGTTCACAAGGACGCGCGACGTTCCTAATTCGTGCCTTGCTAATGTCCATTTGCCAATGCTTTAATTAATGGGACGAATTCGCGTGGAAGTTCAAACGGATCAAAAGGAAAACGTATGAAATACAACGAAGAAAAACACACAAAAAAAATATTAAGAAACTCCGCAGACGCTATTTCGAAACGATGTGTTTTGTTGTTCGTCGCTTGTTGGTCTTTTTTAACATTGAACTTTGTGGTTTACGGCTCGCGTGGGCGGATATTTGAATAAAGTAACATAAAACGGCATGCAAATTGGAAATATAGTACGAGTATAGTTGGATTTTACGTTATCGATTTCTATTTATACGCGAATCAGGACAAAGTTAAACAAACTAATCTATTTCGACGTTATGAAATTTGAACTAAAGTCATGAAATTTTATATACGTAATCGCAATAATAATTTTATGTTCAAAGACTAATTCAGATTTTCATACCGAATTGTTTTTTCCTCAACCAAATTAATCAATTAAGTACAACAATATCTCGCATAGTGCTGTTTCCATCAGTCCGGATTTACTGAAAACTTTAAAACAAATTAAATTTGAATTGATCAAAATAAATTCAGAAAAAAATATTATTCAAAAATAGTTGTTTTATTTTAATTAAACAATCAAGTTTTATGCGGTTTTAAGATCTTCGATTAGTCCGGTTTCAAACAGTTCCGGACTGTGCGAGGTTTTGCTGTACTTCCATAAAATCGGATTATCAACATATTAACAAAAAAAAATGAAATTGCTCAAACTTAACTTTATTATCAAATTTTAAATTAAACATTTAAAAACTTCATTAATTTAATAAACTAAAATTTACTGAAAACTGTTTCAGTTGTTACAAAGAAAACATCATTATTTGAATTTGTATTTACAAAATTATTGTAAATAAAATATGTTTAAAATAAACATGAAGCAATTATCTCGTTATCCAAGTTTTCTTCTGATCTCTGGCAACCACAAGAATAAGTTTTTATTTATTTTTTATCAAAATAGGATTCAAGAATCCTTTGAGTTAACTCTTTATGCTTTACTGTCAACAGATGCATAGGATGAAACCGTTCTTTGGAAATTTATGTTCTGGTTACGATGATATTTCTTCAGTCAATTAAGCACGTGACAGTTATTTCTTCAGTAAAGAATTTCAACAATTTGTTCATATTTATTACAGATTTCTTCATTTTGACATAATTTTGTTTCAAAAACTCGTTTTACCATAAAAATATTACTTGTTTTCTTCAGTAAATTTAACAAAAATTCAAATAACTAAAACTAATTTTGAAGCTGAAATAAATAATGGAGTGTTTTCATAAAAAAAAGAAGACGTAAATAAAAGTGTAATGTAAATTAATTTATTTTGAAAAAGAACACAAGGGTTTAAACGTGACAAGGACGTTAGTACATAATTTGGGAGTGATAAAATTATGAGGGAGAGTGAGAGGCGGAGGCCTTTTGGGCAGCAGCAGGATGTCGCCCATTGTGATGGATTTACGTAAATTTGGTGAGCGCACGTGAACGTAACAGGTGATAAATCCGTGTAATGTTTGGATGTCGTCCTTCTCGTCCTCCACTTCCATAGCCTCCTCCTGTCCCACCTCATCCTCCTCCTCCGACGCCTACTCAACCAGAGCATGATCGAGTGATTAATAATCGCAACATGATTAATTGCCGAACACATAATGGACAATACGTAAAACGCGCTAAAATCGACAACACCTAAGACTAATTAAAGTACATCGAACGTGGATCAATCATCGTCCTCATCATCATCCTCATCTCCCTTGATGATTCCCAACGTTTTGGCCACCCTCTTCACATTCGCTATAACCTCCTCCTGCACCAAATTGAAGCTCATAGCGAGCAGCGAAATTCCAAACAACAAATACAAAGAGCAATATGCAATATTTTCTTTAAACTTCTCCTTCTTAACACGATTCGCAGGTACGAAATCTCCGAATCCGATAGTTGTCAGCGTGATGAAGCAGAAGTAAGCTGAATCCAGGTAATCCCATCCTTCCCAAAACGTGAAGAGGAACATACCGGCGAAGATGTAGCTGATCACCAGGAAAACGCACAACCAAATCGGCACCGGTTTGATCCTCACTCTTCCCGTGTCGAAGCTTCCTTCCTCGTAGAAGTACTCATCATCAGATCCCGGATCGTCCAGGTACTTGCTCCGATGTCCGTAACCCATAGGACTCATGATCCGCGGACTCGGGTTGTAATCTAAAGAAGGCAAACAGATTTAATTAACTATTATTGTTTCGCCAGTCCAGAATTACTCTTCCTCCTTCTTTGCTGTTTGCTCTGATCGTCGTCCCGAATCGAAGAAGACGATGGTGATGGATCTCTAGGTGGTTCCAGGTAGTGCTGCGATCTGGGCATCGAGAGAGCTCTTCTACCTTGCAGCGGAGGCGAAGCATTCCTTGCAGGTCTCTCATTATAAGTAATCCCTAATACAAATTTTAAATTATATACAGTTTTTTTTAATATCTTTTAGCATTTACCTGGGACGTGATTTCCAACTAAATCCGCTTTATCCATGACGTATCTATTGCAGTAAACCGGAGCTTTTGCAAGAGCCGAAGGGTCAATATCGAAGACCTTCGGAGCTCTTCTACGATCCAAGGAACCTCCGCGTTGAGGGTTGTTACCACGCGCATTCGGACTTGGTCTGCGCACAGGTGGACCTTCGTCGGAGAATCTGGAGCGTTGAGATGGTTGCATTCGAGGAAGACTTTGTCCTCTTTTGGATACAGGATGATCTTCATGAAATCTACAATAATATAACAATTACTTACTGTCTTTCTACAATTAAGATTTGTAAATAACCGACATTTTTCTAGAAAAAAAAATGAGGAACAATGGAAGTGTCTATCTGGAAAATCCAAAACTATATTATTCAAACATCCAAACGATTCAACATTACTGTCTGCATATGATATTAGCAAAAATAATGGACGTGCCGATCCATGACACAGATGTTCAATAATAAACCTACATAAAATAAACCATTCATTTTATGATCTTAATTATGTTTTACCTAAGTTCTGTATCTGAATGCGACGAAGGTCCCACGTCGGAGAAAGCGAATCCGCTATCCGCTGATCTCGTAGATGTCCTTAACGATCTCTTGAAGGATGAAGTTCTCGATCTGGTATTCCTACTATGAACATTTTGAATAGCAAAACTGGGAATTTCTCAAGATTAGTAAAAAAAAAAGGAAACAAACCCTTGAAGTCGCATCGTAGGCCTTCTAGGAATTTGAGACATCCCCCGCTTGTGCCGTTTAGGTTTCTTCGTGCACACGTAACAGCAGACTTTCCAGTATAAAAACCTGAACGAAGTGGCCATAATATCACCGATATTTGATAAGCATAGAAGCATCAAGGGAATACCCAGAATCGCGTAAAAGATCGTAACGACTTTGCCCCAGGTCGTCTTCGGCGCGATATGTCCGTATCCTGAAAATAATTATACAATTTGTTTAATAAATTATAACTAAAAACAAATATATAATATAATTTCGTAGATTTGATCGACATTGAAAAATGCGAACAAATAAACTTGACCTACTCACGGATTCGGCGAAGGTCAACAATCGCGAATAATGATGTAAAAAAATAAACATTTTTTTGAACTGATTTGCATAACTCATTGTCTCTAAATGGATTCATCGGACGTCGTCGGAGGCCTTCTTTCGCAGGATGCGACTGCGATTGGGAATCCCCGTTAATATCTATGTGTGTGTGTGTTTACAAAGAGCTCAATGCCAATGAGAAGCCTATCATCCTTCTGAAGTCGGATGATGATGATGATGATGAGAGAGAGAAAAAACCGAAATGTAATCATTATTTCAGACGGAATAGGGGGCAATTAAGAAGAAGTAGGGTAATCCGAAAGAGCAGGAATAGGATTTAATTCCATTGCCGGACGTAATCCTTCGCGCGCCGATCGATCGCAGCACAACAGTTTCCCATTATTCCACCGAACTGCTTTAAAAAAAAATTTGATGTTTTTCAACAGGAACGACAAAGAAAAAGAAGAATTACTTCGGTAATAGAAATGTCAACGTCCGTAAAGGTTGACCAATTTCCTGCGACCTTTCCCATCAGATCTTGTGCATTAATTACCAAATTCGACGGAACAAAAACAGAAAAAAAAATATAAACATAAATCGCACTTCCTTCCGTTCGACCTCACCGATTTTCGCGCTGAATTGCATCCAATGCCATCTGCGGACCTTGCCGAGGTCAACGGACAAGTTTTTTTTTTGCTTTAATGAGACGAAATTGATATTCAAATTGGTGCGCCAATTATGAGCACTTTCGAGAATCCGTTGTGCAACTTTATATGCGATTGTTACACAAGGAAATAGGCAAGGATTTGTATTTTATATCAGAGGAAAGGCTTTCTCTCTCTGTCTCTTTCTCCCTCGATAAATTACATAAAAAAACTGTTCATTCCGAACGTACTGTTTGCAATACCAATCAAAAACAGCACAAAAGCATGTATAATCACTAAGTTCGTACGAGTACGTAAATATTTGTTTATTTGAACATTTCTCAATCAATCGTTTCAACTATAAAGTTGTTAACAACTTAATAATATTTACAGTTTTTGTAAAATTTTACGTTGAAAGAATAAATGTTTCCTCATTGTAAGTTTTCACTAAACTTAAGATCAAAACGTGTGGCATCTCGGCCTACTAAATAAAGAAGAACCTTCCATATAATTATTTTATAATAATAAAAGCATACCTCGATAATAGAATGTTTCAGGTAAAAATAGAAGACAAATACACCGACTTATATAATAGAATCAGGGGTGTCGCAGGAAAATGTTTTAGTACCACTGCTTTATCTTCTACACACGGCAGATATTCCTAAAACTAACAATACTACGATTGCAACATTAGCTGATGACAAAGCAATCTTAGCATCAGATGAGAATCCAGCAGCAGCATCCGAATATCTACAGGAAAATTTAGATAAGCTACAAGAATGGCTTAAAAAATGCAGAATAGCAGTTAACGAAATGAAATCCGTGCATATCACATTCACGCTAGAGATAGACACCAGCCCAACTGTAAGACTTAATGGACAAGATCTGCCCAAAGCAACAAAAGTCAAATATCTAGGCATGCATCTGGACAGAAGACTCATCTGGAAAGATCACTTTCAGGCTAAGAGGGAGCAATTAGAAATAAAGTTTAGAAAATAAATCACTTATATAGAAAGTAATAATGAAACCAGTAAATCGAACATACAAATTATACAAAGGTTCCAATCAAAATGCCTAAGAAATATTATTAGGGCCCCCATGGTTCATCAGGAATAAAGAAATACACGAAGATCTTCACATAGTTATGGTCGAGGATACAATAGCAACATTTAGTAGTAGTAGATACCAAGATAGACTAGAGTCACATAATACCGTGATCTTAAATATACTCAATGTTCACATTGATAAACAGATTGTGAATAAAATTATAGGAGATAAAAAAAATCTTCAATAGAAATAGTGAATGATGAAATTTCTACTTATTTTCATAAATATTTTTAAAATTAAACTTCTTCATAATTATTAAAAATATAAATTGTTTATTTCAATTATTTTCTCTTAGTTTTTCATAAAATCGACAAATAATACTAATATTTATATTAAATTATTTAAAATATTGTTTGTAGAATTTCTTCTTTTTTTTTCATTCTCATTTACGTGTAATACCATAATTTAATTCACTCTAACAGACTAATTAAAATGTACTGGTCGATGATTTATTAACGAATTGATTAATTATTAAACAATTTTAACGAGAAAGGGGAAAAGTACGCGTAAACAAGCACAAGTTCGATAATTTCATCGAACGGTTTTAATTAGAACTGAAAACAACACGGATTTCCTTTTTATAACGAAAAAAATAAATAAATATATAAATCAATTAAAAAATATCTCCATTCATTGAATACACAAAAAAAACATAATTTACAGAATAAATTCTTAGGGTGAAAGTACTAAATAAATTACAATTTCATTTTACATAATAAAATTATATAATAATTTGATTTTTGAGAATAATTACTGGAAATCAAAATAGTTAAAACAATAATTCTTGATTACTATTGAATATTCAGTTTCTTTTTAACAAAATAAACTCAAACCATATTTTCATTTAAATTAAATAGTTTAAATTTCATTGAAATTACTTAGTTTCAATCTCAATTTAATTAAATAACTTTAAATTTAATTAAATAGATGGAAGGACAAATTTTAATCTAAATTATACAAATTTAAGTGAAACCCAAAAACCAATCCATTTCAATTATGTCTTGTCGCATTACTACGCTTTTTTTGTTTAAAATCTAGTAACCGTTGACGTAATAGTACGTCATGTTATTGAACAAAGCGTTAATATCATTATACAATAAATTTAACAAAAAATATGGTTTAGTTTTCCAAAATTATATCCGTGGAATAATTTCAAATACATTTGTAATTCAATTGGAAATTCAGGATGAGCTTATTAAGATGCACGTGCGTTTTTCTTCTCAGAATTATTAAGCAATTATCGAAATTACATAAAACACACCTGTACGTGTCTTTTTTTGTGTTTCGTAATTATTGACGGCGTAGACGGGACAATAGGAAAACACGCGTTTCAATTAAAATTTATAATTGAATCGACGATCGTGGACGTGTCAAATATTGTTGTTGCCGGACAATGATGAACAAACAGAAAATTCTTTTTTATTTATTATTGTTTCTATTTGAAAACACACATATTACGTATTGAAACCCATCAGCAGGAATAAAATTTAATAAATTTAAAAACAACACAAACCGGACACGTAAAATAATCATAAAATTTAATTTAAATCTGAAACTGCTGTGTTTTCACAGAATTTTGCGTGCAATCAGTTTCCAAAATCACGTGAATTTTTATAAAGTTACACATATTTGTTGATGTTTCAGTTTGCATACATACATTCAATATACATTTGTTTGGATTTAATGCTTGATGTTTTTTTTTTGTTGTTTATTACACGTAGTAATATTTGTTTATAATTTTGTTGTATAATCAGAACGTGTGTGTATGTTGTATTATTAGTTTTAGTTTTATGTTTATATTTATTTTAAATTAATAAAAAACAACATACAGTTAGTGGTTTTTGTGTGTTCGCATTTTCTGGAAAATAAATTTGTTAAAATTCAATAATAAAATTTTAGAATCTTTACGTTTTATTTGATTATTCAAAAAGCACTAATACTAATTAAAATATAGAATATGTAAATTTAAGATAAAATTATGTACTTTCCATTTTTCGGTAATAAGTTATCAGATTTGATTAATTTGATCTAGAAAAAGTTGTATTTTTATCTTTTATTTAATTATTCCATAACAGCAAATACTAACTAAAATATTGAACACTGAAATTAAAGACAATAATATGGTATTTCTATCAAAATATATTTCATAATTGTAATCATTTTTTTCTAATAATCTCAATCTTAAGTAACAACATTTTTATGTATAATTTATGTCTACTTTGATGTCTAATTACTCAATACACAATCATACTAATTAAAATACTGAATATGCAAATTAAAGGTAAAATTATGGCCTTGTCAACGAGATCTACAGTATTTACCATTTTTCAATAATAAGTCGTTAAATTAATTAAATTTTTCAACTCTTCTCTTTATAAAGATAAAATTATGTTCATTTCAACGAAGTAAGTAGCAAATCTACAGAATTTACAAATTTTCTCTCTCTTCTTTCTGTAAAGATAAAATTGTGTTCTTTTCAACAAAGTAACTTACAGATCTACATTATTTACCGTTTTTCAATTCTTCTCTTTATAAAGATAAAATTATTTTCTTTTCAACAAAGTAACTTGAACATTTATCAATAATAAGTCGAAAAGTTAATTAAATTTTTCAACTCTCCTCTTTGATAATTTTTTTTTGATTTCGACAAAGAAACTTGCAGATGTACAGTAATTACCAATTTTCAATAATAAGACGTTAAATTAATTAAATTTTTCAACTCTTCGCTTTATAAAGATAAAATTATGTTCATTTCAACGAGGTAAGTTGCAAATCTACATTATTTACAATTTTTCTCACTCTTCTCTCTGTAAAGATAAAATTCTGTTCTTTTCAACAAAGTAACTTGAAGATCTTCAGTATTTACCATTTTTCAATAATAAGTCGTTAAATTAATTAGATTTTTCAAGTATTCTGTTTGTATAGATAAAATTCTGTTCTTTTTAACAAAGTAAATTACAAATCTAAAGTATTTACTATATTTCAATAATAATTCGTTAAATTAATTAGATTTTTTAGCTCTTTCCTTTAGATAAAATTCTGTTCTATTCAAAAAGGTAACTTGCAGATCTACAGTATTTACTATTTTTCAATAATAAGTCGTTAAATTAATTAGATTTTTCAGCTCTTTTCTTTATAAAGATAAAATTCTGTTCTATTAAAAAAGGTAACTTGCAGATCTACAGTATTTACTATTTTTCAATAATAATTCGTTAAATTAATTAAATTTTTCAACTCTTCTCTTTATAAAGATAAAATTCTGTTCTTTTCAACAAAGTAACTTATAGATCTACAATATTTACCATTTTTGAATAATAAGTCGATAAGTTAATTAATTTTTTCAACTCTTCTCTTTGTAAAGATAATATTATGGTCTTTTAAACAAAGTAACTTACAGATCTTCTCAATAATAAGTTGATAAGTTAATTAAATTTTCAACTCTTCTCTTTGTAAAGATAAAATTCTGTTCTTTTCAACAAAGTATCAATAAGTCGAAAAGTTAATTAAATTTTTCAACTTTCCTCTTTCTTTTCGACAAAAAATGTACAGTAAGAATGCAGATGTACAGTAATTATCATTTTTCAATAATAAGTCGTTAAATTAATTAGATTTTTCGACTCTTCTCTTTGTAAAGATAAAATTCTGTTCTATTCAAAGAGGTAACTTGCAGATCTACTAGCATTTTTCAATAATAAGTCGTTAAGTTCTTGTCTTAAAAAAAAATCTGTAGTTTTCCAAATGTTTTATCCAGATACAAATTTCCGCTTAATACTATTTACCTAAGGCTTTATTGCATTTTCCTAAACTCGCTGTTGCACCGAACTTTCGAGTCTTCGCATTAAAATTCTTCCCGGAAAGCACTCGTTTCATCAACGTAATTGAATTTTAGCGAGCCGTGGATTTTCCGTTCCACAATGCAAACAATTTTCTTCCTATTTATTTAATACTTGCTTCCCTTTTTTCCCTCCTCTTTTCACCATCTTCTCTCATTCTGTCTTTTTTTCTTTTCTTGAAGCAAAATAAGGAACGCGTCTGCTTTGCTGCAAAATCGGATTGCGCGAATTCCGCTCTTCGTAAAGTTCTGCTAGAAAAATGCATTACGCAACGCGCTCATCTTCCCTTGGCGTTTACGTAATCCGTCCGAACGAAAATAATGCATCTCGAAGTGGATCAATTAGGAAATTTCCAGGGAACTTTCCCAGAGGATTTCGGAGCAGTCAAAGTCTCCTACCATCGAGGATCCCCGTCCAAGAAGCCGGTGCACGTAGAGAGCGAGAGCGTGTATAAAAGCGAAACCGAATTGAAGTCGGTTACGTAATTGCACGCGGCTCGCCGTCCGAAACGCTTGCATAACAATAATACGAAACGCGCGCTACAGCTTTTGTGCACAATTTTGGGAGAGAACAAAATATTCGACGTTTTCAATCGAACAAAATTTTAGAGTTATTGTTACGTGCGTGTGACCCGATTCACATCAAATCCGAGACAATGAAAGGCTTTATTACTGCAGGTAAATTAGATTATTATGTCAATGTTTAACGAACTATGAATTTAATAAGTTTAAAATTTCACAAATTTGAGCACCACAAATTGTTATTCAATGAATTAAAGAAATATTCAAAAAATTTGATAAATAATTTAAATTATTTTGTTAATTTTTTTCAATATTTTTGTTCATTATTTTCTTCAAGAAAACATTTAATAAAACTTAAAATTTTACTGATTTTACCAACAACAATAATAGATATTCGACTAATTCAAACAATAATTGATTAAACTACTTATAAATAATAAAAAAAATTAGATTTCTCAAAGAAAGTTAAGCATTTTTTTTTATAATCATTAAAACAACTTAACAAAAAATACAAATTGTATAATTAATTGAAATAATTATAAATAGTTTAACAAATATAAACAGTTATTTGTCATCTTGCATAATTATATCTCATATATAATGTATGTATATGGATCAAGCTTACAGCAAAGTTACTGAACGTGTGTGTGTGTGTGTGTATTTCCATTTTCGGTTGTACAGATCAAAGTGAAATGTTATACATTTGTAGGATATTGCTGGAGGCCTGAGGCGCCTTTACATACATTAATCCAAATCAAACTAATTTTAACGAATCCTAACAGAGGACTTAAATAACATTTGCACCATGTAACTGTTGATATATTACATGTAACAGAGATGTCCAGAATTTCAGAATACGTACACAAATCCGAATATATTACACAATTATAATTATAATATCATTAAAATAATAGAATTGTTATAAATTGTAAAGAAATAGAGAAAAATTATATGTTTTTTAAATGAAAAATTATTGTAAAAACTTTAATATTTTTCGACTCTTAATTAGAATTAACTATCATTGATAATTGCATAATCAAGTAAATGATAAAATAGTTATACCTCAGATGCAAAATTGTGGATTATTTCTTAAAATTGGTAAATCTGAAACCACATAAAATGAAGAATTTGAGAGGATTATAAGTTTTTTTTTTCAAAATTGATGAAATAATGCGTTCACGCCGTAAAAGTTTTGTATGTATGAATATGCAGGCGATACAGGAAGTTCACATATTTTGTTGTTGTTGCGAACAGCCATATTCCTTCTCTTTTTTTGTATAATATAGTGACATGCCATCAAATATGGATAAAGATTGATGACTGCACGTCTACGTTTCAAAACGTGTATCGGATGGGAGTCGGGTGGATAGAGAGACTGGCAAGAACAAAGCAAGTGAACAAAAGAAGTAGAAAAAAAAACATACGTTTTGTACAGGGATATATATATAAGGGATGAATCGAGAAGGAAAGGCAGTAGTATGCAGTAAGCGGAGATATTATATGTATCGTAGGAATAGGGTACTCATATCACGTAACACGCATCTGTTGTAAAGGTTTTACGAGGAATTTTAAGGGTTCCGTGTATCGGCATCCAGGGCAAATATGCATGATGCGGGCCTGTAGGGCCAAATGGATTTTGTAATTGCAAAATAAAACCTTGAAACGGATTTTCCCGCTGGGACATGCACACACTCATACTATAGAAAGGATCGCCCTATGCACACACTAACTCACTTACAAATAGGTTTTCCCCTTTATTGGACCCGGCTTTCAATGTAGGATACATTTGGAAATAAATGATACAAACCAATATAGAAACAACAACAAAAAAAGGCATTCATCAATTTTCCGAACTCTTTGACATCCTTTATTATTCACGATCTGTTACATTAAACCAAAATCATCCCATCAATTAGCGAAATTACATAACGCATTAGTTTATCAAATCTTTAAAGATTACTTATGCAACTATGAATGATATACTTTTTATATCATTTAAGAATATATGCAACTTTAAGAACTTCTTTTATCATTAACATAACAAATGAATGAATGTTATGCATTCATATTGGATTTTATGATACAAACTACCAAGAATACCATAGTTATGCAACTTTCTAAACCTCCTATTATCATTTACAGGTTATAATGAAGAAAATATATGTCATAATGTATCATTCAAGAATAGGCTTACTTATGCAACTCTCAAACTTTTCTGTTATCATTTACAGGTTAGAATTAATATGGAAAAAATATTTATTTACCTTTTCAACTGACATATTTATATAATACATATGTTCAACTTGGCGATTCTTTAACACCAATCACTTTTTCTTGCTTCTATAATTCTTATCAAATATAATCTTTCATGATATAAATTTTCACTTGAAATAATAACCACAAAGTACAAAATTTATTGACATATTCGACAACTGTACCAACTCAAATCACATCTGTTTTTTTTTTTTCTAAAAGAAGCCATATTTATTAAGCCGTAAACATGACAATAAAAAATATTTATTCAAAACATTCGCTCAATTTTTCTTCAATCATAAACAAATTGTTGATTTTCCTTGTCATTATTTTCATAATAATTAATAAATTATAAAACATTGATTTTAAATCTTTAGTTGGTACACCTGCTACAGTTGACAAATTCCAGAAACGTCACTTATGAAATGAATTTTTGATGCAAACTAGCGGCGGATATATCCGCCCTATTCTTAACTTAACAGACAGACAAGTTTATAATGGTGGTGAAATTTAGTTCAACGGTATATATTAGTTTTCATTCTCGTTTGCCAAAGATAATTATTATTATCAATCAATCACTTGATTTTCGCTATGTCTATTAATATTATATTTTTTTTTTCATATTCTCACCCTAATACTTATTGAAAATCTTTAAATAAATAAAAAGTAATTTATAACCGTGCGACACTTTTAATACGTGCATATTTTACGTAAAACCCCTTGCGCAATTCACTTTTTTTTTCTGTAATAGCAGAACAATAGAAACAAATCCGATGATCCAACGCACAGCGAACACAGTGAATTATTTTATTTTATTTATATACAATGACCGGTCGCAACAAATCGAAAACAAAACTAAAGCTAAATCCCAAAAACAAACAACATATATAAATTCGCATGTCCCAAATTCTTTCTGTTTTTTGTTAATTTTATTTATTTATATTTGGATTCAGCGCATTATTTATTTACTTCATGCAAAATAATACAGAAAAAAAAATATACCGGACTAGAAACAAGCGGTTATGTAAAAGCAGCGGGATTACATTTCCACCAAAAAGGAGTAAAAAAAAGCAAAGAGTGGAGAGAAAATGCAGGGAAATAAAAAAAAATAAAATGAAACAGGAAAACTAACCACATGTTGAATTAAAATGGTCATGGGACACCTGATACGAGACATACTGTGATCATGTGCGCTCCATCCCACCAGTTCCATATTTGTTCTTTTTTTTTCGCTTGTTTTTTGTTTTTTTTTTGGTTTTAATTTGCATCGCAATAGCCGCAAGGGCTTGTACGTACGAATTACTCCCATTTTCGTTGAGATTTCGCAGATAGGTTTTTCGGACCGAACTAGATGAAGGAGGAGCGAAATGAGAGAAAAAAACGAGAATATACACGGACGCACATGCATATGGCGTATACGCAAATTAAACGAGATTCCTTTTAACAAATTACATTTGAAATTTTATTTAAATAAAAAAAAAAGTTTCAAATTAAAATTCTGTTGGACTGAATATTTTGCTGCAAACCGGAGAAATCCATCTATTTTGATATCTCTGCACCGAATTATGTAATTTGGAAAATGTGAGTGGTTTTTGTTAGATTAATGTTTGTCGGATTTTCATTAAAGTAAGTAAATGTAGGTTTAGGAATTGGATATTAGGTATAGACCACGAAAATCTTTATTTATTTATATTTTACCAATAGTACTAAATAAAATCATAGCTAATTGGATTCTGGGATTATTTTGAACAATTATTAACAAATTTAATTTTATAATAAATTTAAATAATATTAACATTTTTCGTGAAAATGTTCCAAATTATTTTGCTTAAACTTTTGAAGAAAATTTGAAAATTAATATGAACATTATTATTCACTTACAAAATTAACTCCATCATAAGATGAATTTTGGAAAAGAACTTAGTAACTTTAATTAAAAACAATTCTAAGTATCTTTATGTAAAATATTCATTGTTTTATGAAGAAAACGTTCTAAATTATTCATTTTTTTTTAGTTACATATACATAATTTTCTCATATAAGTAATGTAAGATAGCACTTCTTAACCTAAAACCTAAAATTGTGTCGTTTCAAATTTTTAATGGGTCGTGAAATGACAGCTGTAATCTTGTGTCAAAGTTAGGGGGAATTTGAGAAGTGTTCTTAGCGTTGTACGACTACAAAGAAATATGTTGATCCCGGAACTTAATGGTTGAGAAACTCTGATTTATTCAAAAATTTGTATCACATTTCATTCAAAGAAAAAAATAAATTATAAAATTATTATTGGATTTCCTATTAATATTTATTCCCGATATCACAAATTAGTTCTGTTGGACTGAAAATTGCTGCAAACAGGAAAAATCCATGTATTTTGATATTTCTGCACCGAATTATGTAATTTGGAAAATGTGAGTGGTTTTTGTTAGATTAATGTTTGTCTGATTTTCATTAAAGTAAGTAAATATAGGTTTAGGAATTTGATATTAGGTATAGACCACAAATATCGTTATTTATTTATATTTTACCAATAGTACTAAATAAAATCATAGCTAATTGGATTCTGGGATTATTTTGAATAATTATTAACAAATTTATACTTGACAACTTTAATTTTATAATAAATTTAAATAATATTTAAATAATATTTCGTGAAAATGTTCCAAATTATTTTGCTTAAACTTTTGAAGAAAATTTGAAAATTAAAGTGAACATTATTAATTAAATAGAAAATTAACTCCATCAGAAGATGAATTTTGGAAATGAACTTAACAACTTTAATTGAAAACAATTCTGAGTATCTTTATGTCAAATATTCATTCTTTTATGAAGAAAACGTTCTAAATTATTCATTTTTTTTTAGTTACATATACATAATTTTCTAATATAAATAAAGTAAGGTAGCATTTCTTAACCTAAAACCTAAAATTGGGTCGTTTCATATTTTTAATGGGTCGTAAAATGACAGCTGTCATCTTGTGTCAAAGTTAGGAGGTTAAATATGGTGATTCCGGAACTTAATGATTGAGAAACTCTGATTTATTCAAAAATTTGTATCACATTTCATTGAAAGAAAAAAATAACTTATAAAATTATAATGTATTATACTAAATGCAACTTGTTTAACTTTCGAAAGACATTAACAATTCCCAAAATGTGGTCGTCGACTGTGTCATTATAATCAACACGTTTTTGTTTTTTTTTTTCAATTAAAAATAACTAATGTATCGTTATGGTAACAGCGATCAATATCATTGCGAAATTGCAAATAACCATGGAAACTTCATTTCTATAAAATTAGTCATAAGTTAAAAGAGAATTTACATACAAATTTGCAAATGTTGTCAATATGCGAAGAACTCTGAATAAATTTATTTTTTTCATAATTATTTCCGTTTTGTTAGTTTTCCTTTTAAAGATCGAAATGATTTAAAAGTAATTAGCAAACGCGTAGTGAGTATTTAAGCAAAAACGATACACCTGTAACGATATGCAATTACTCAATTAGCGTGATGCAAGAGAAGAAAAGAGAGTAAAATTATAATAAAGTGGAAAAGCCCACACGATTCCTTGGCACAGTTTCTCGCCTCGTCTTTGCTCTCTTCTAGCATTCTTTATTTATTTATTTATTATTATTTTTTCATTTCTATTTCGTCCTCGATCGCGTCCTTATTTTATTTATCCTCAGCCATTTCTCATTTCGGAAACAAATTTAAAACAATTATTGCCTTCCTGAAAACCCAACTGCCAACACACATTTTCTCGCGCAGTCCCCCCAATTTGCACGTGAACACCGCCCAGGATAAATTATCGCCTCTTCCTATCTGCCTCCAATGCACGCAATTCCCCTTTAGCACCGTCTCAACTGGCACAAATAAATTTCCGCCTCGTTCTTCTCTCCTCCCAGAAGCAAACCCAATTACCGCCGATGATTTATTCTTATCAGAAAATGAATAAATATGTATACAGGACGTATGTGCAACCTCTCCTCCTGTTTCAAACAACTTCAAACGTAATTGGAAGATAATTTAAACATCAATTTTTCTTTACTATACATAGAAGAGAAAAGATATACAAAAGTTGGAAAATAACTAGATTCAACACAAAAGGTTATTTTGTCATCAGCGAAAAGTAATTTTCTTTATTATTACGTTGTTTCGAAACAAAGATTAATTTAAAAATTCCATCTCCAATTGGACAAATTTATATTAAAAACTGTATTTTTATTCCAAATAAATATTAATATTAATTGAAATGTTTCGAAAAGTTGGATAAAAGAAAATTTTTAAATTATTTATTTTGAATGTATATAATTTCAGTAAAATTGAAGAAAAAAAGTGTCACCTAATACATAAAAGCTATGCAACTTTAGAAAAGATTAATCAATAAAATTTAGTTGCATACAATTTTTAGCATAATTATAAACGTAATAAAGATCGTATTTGAATTGAATATTCAAAATTAAATGTTTCAAATTAATCGAGTCTCAAAATTAAGTTTATAAATCAAACTTTCGGTATGTAGCAATACCACAAATAGTGCGGCAACGATCAATGCGAATTCACTATAGTACAATTTGAAATTTTCAAACCAAACTAAACTTTAATTGAGAAAAAAAAACTGTACAAAATATGGTTTTTCTGTACAGTTAACTTTTTTTGCAATTTATTTGAAAGTCCTTAATTAGTGCGGAAATTGTCAGAGCAAAAAGACAGATCCTGTCAGATTTATCAACTGTTATTGAATTTGAATGTCAACAGACATAACCAATATTAGTTTGACAGACCATTATGTCAAATGTCAGGTATTGACAGCATACAATTCCATTTAAATGTCATTAATAACCGATAGTAGTTTTACATGAATTGACAGAATATTGATAGAGTATAGTTAAATTTGTGCAATGTTTTTCAAAGTCCTCATTTAGTGCGGTTTGAAAGAAGTAATGCTATATTTATATAATGTAACATAAATTAAAAAGGAATATAAATAACTATAAGATTAAATTTTAAATTTTACTATAAAAATATATAATAAAACTCATCTTGTCGCAATGATACAATAAATCTATATAATAGCAAACTTTTGATCTTGTATTAGGAAACTAAATGTTACTTATCAATAACAAGCATTTCAATTCACAACTGTTAAATAAAAGTTTCTATCGAAATACAAGTTTATTATTAATACTATTTTTTTTTCACTTCTTATTTCTTTCTCTCCTTCGCTGAATTCTGCATCATTCCGTTCGATAAAATAATATAATAAAAGTAGTATTGTCGCTTTTGATACAAAGAAGTCCATACAATTGAAAACTTTCGAACTGAGACGACGCCATTCGATTATGTACGTTCGGATTTATTATTCTCCCTTATTAAACTTATTACGCAATTTCTTTCTTCCCCAGTCGCTTTTTCTCTCCGTCTCTTATTCCGCTTTAGTTCTTGTATTACATCGACTTGCGATTCCGTACATAAGAATATATATATGTATACTTATACATAGGTACATAACTCGATTGTTTGTGCGTTTCCGTTCCGTCGCTAATAGCCAATCTCTTCCGCTCGGCCGCACATCCTCTTTTTCCCCCCTTCAGTCAGTTTTAATTGGCTTTCTGTGATGCTTGTATAACGAAACTTTCGTTTATTTCGTTAAACCGTGAATAAAACTTGAACATTGTTCCAACATCCATTCCGTATTTTTTTTATTTGTTTTCGACTCGCCTTATTTTCTCCTGTATACTTTTTTGTTGCAGGCCTTCTCCTGTCGAGTCTTCTGCTGGTTTCCTGCGAGGACGATAAATGGAAATGGAAGGATAAGTGAGTGAAAATGTTTTTTAAGTTGTTTCTTTTTTTATAGAAAAGATTGTTTCAGTAAACGTTCGAACGCGAGATACGCGACCCACGAGGAAGATGAGGAGTTGTTCAATGAACCAGGTTTCTTAGGACCTAATAGACCAGGTTTTGGAGGACCTCAGCCCGATTACAGACCTCAGCCAGGATTCAGACCGCAACCTGATTTCAGACCTCAACCTGATTTCAGACCACAGCCTGATTTCAGACCTCAGCCTGGATTCATAGGAGATAGACCTGACTATGGAAATGGCGGTTACGGAGGAGCAATTCGTCCGCCAATTGATGAGTTTCCTTCGGGCGGACCTCAGCGTCCACCTGTCAGAAGGTTCGACACATGCACGTGCACCGAGAAATTCAATTGTCAAAGCCCAGGACTCTCCTATGTACGTTCAAATCTTCATAATGATCCTAAATATAAAAATGACATTTGTCATAAATGACATAACCAATAGTAGTTTGACAGACATTTGTGTCATGCATTGATAGCATACATCTTAATTGAAATATTATCAAACTCAATAGCAATAATTTGGTTATGAATTTTAGGGACATTGCGACGTTGGAAAATCGTATTGCTGCTTTAATAAACACGGTGGATTGGACGTTGGGCCAGCGCCAAGCAAGAACACCCATCATCCGGAAAACGGTATCCTTGTTGGTCCCGGTGCCGGTGGTAAACCAGGTTTCGGAAGACCCGGAAGACCGCAAATAGGATACGGCGGTATTCGTGAACCAGGTTACAACGGAATTCGCGAACCTGGTTTCGGAGGAATCCGTGAGCCAGGATACGGACACGGCGGAATTGGTGGTCAAGGTTTATTAGTTGGACCAGGAGGACCAACTGGTATTATCGGTAGACCTGGTAAACTATTTCAGTTGGTAAATTACATTTGTTTATAATGGTTATATTTTAGGATCAAGGCCTAGTTACTCTTTGAACAATGGATTATTGGTGGGTCCAGGAGGACCACGCGATGGACCGTACGGACCCAACTACTACAAGAAGAGTAGCAACTAGAGGAGAAAGACTGCCAACATTAGTATTTACAGTTACCAACTATTCAATGTACTTATTTATTTTGATTCAAATAAAATAATTTTAGTGTAACCAGTATATTTTTTCTCTTGCTCTCGTTTCTTTTCATTGACATGGACGCACATGTCGCTGCAAATCCGTTGAGCTCTAATATTTTTTTTTGTCTTTTATGAATAAAATATTGACTTTTAAATGATTAATTGTGCGGAAATTTTTATATATATGATGAATCGGGCCATTGTGAACGGGTTTAAATCGCGCGCGCTCTCGATTCCTTGATTTTCCTAGGATTTACACGCGATTCATTTGTCTCTCACCTATTGTCGTGATGACAATGATGGAATAGAAGAGTGCTCCGGCCAGGCTCCATTGCACGTTGTCCGTGTTTTCGTCTCCGTCCCATCCGTCTTTCGTGATGGCTTTCAGCAGTCCCGACTCGAAATCCTTCAGCCTCTGTATCACATCCCGAGTAAAGTTCTCCTCGATGAGCACCGGCGAATCCACGGTCGTCAAATTCCACAGTTTGTCCGTGATCATTCCACGCATTTTACCAATGTTCCTCTTCACCTATACAAAAGAACTACAGTCTTAATAGCCTAAGAACTAATTATTTACAAAAGCAATTCAAATAATATTGATTATAAAACTCATAATTGAACTGACCTCTTTTTCATTTTCTTCTTCAAGTGTTTGAAAGGTGACTGCTCCGAGGATGCAGTATGAAACGACCATGGAAACTAGGGTGATGTGCGAGAAGAGACATGTGATGGTTTTCCATGTGTACCTGAGGAAGTTCGCACAGGCGCTAGGTTTCTTGTGCTCCAACGCTTCAGGATCTGAAGAATAGTAGCGCGACATCTTAACATATAACTAAATGTCTTCAATCTTAAAACTACAATTTAAAAAAAAAATCACATGTTTGAACGGGAGCGACAACGAAAACACACTGCCTCTCAAGAACGTAAACCCTTTCCATCTATTTTTACCAGAAAACCGACCGAGTGATGCCTTCTTCCTTTTTGGCTCGAATCGTGGATATTTTTGGAAAGCGAATGCTGCCCGCGCATCGTACGTACATTGTGCATTCATTAAATGCACGATTATTATGATTAATTTCTCGATCCAGCATAAATAACGTAATCATCATAATCATCGAACATCATCAACATAATCGCGATTCGGGAAAGAGCGTCGCGCGTGAACCCCCGCGGATTTATTGCCAATTTTCTTCTAATCAATGGGATGCGCTGATTGAATTTTATAATCAACGCTCGCGATTCACAGCATCATCCGACAATTTCATTTGTGCAGACATCGAGTTTTAATTATCCGCGCAAATTACAAACTTCGGCTGCGTGTGATTAACGCGGATTTTAGGCCAACAACAGCAGGAAAAAAAAAACAGCTCATTATTGAAGCGCCGCATACGTAATCATGTTTTGTTGCTACCGAACGTTGCAGGAATAATTTCCAATGTATTCCATTTATATTCAATAAACGACCCTTAATAATTCATGTTTACCATTTATTCAAAAATCTTGAGCGTGTTGTATGCAACCCAAAGATCATACAATTCAAGAAGCTCTAATAATATAGGCAACTTATATCGCATCACATTTAAAAAAAACAATCTATTAACACAGCGTTTTCCAAACTGTGAGGCGCGTGGACTAGTCTAAAGGGAGGCGCGAATATTAGTAGCAGTGAGCAATTTTCTAAATATCTGCTAAAGTATCTGCAAATTTGAAAAATTGAAATTGGAACGTTCGAAAAAGCAGTGTTTTCACTGATTTCATTGATTTACTCGAAAACT